AAGGGCTGCTTTGCTGAATCAGGGCCTGGACGGATTGCTATCATCGAAGGAAAAATGAATTCCCAAGTTTATCAAGACATTTTGCAGGATAACTTAAGGTCATCTGTCTACCAGCTGAAGCTCAACAAAAGATGGGTGTTGCAACAGGACAATGACCCAAAGCACAGAAGTAAATCAACAACAGAATGGCTTAAACAGAAGAAAATACGCCTTCTGAAGTGGCCCAGTCAGAGTCCTGACCTCAACCCGATTGAGATGCTGTGGCATGACCTCAAGAAAGCGATTCACACCAGACATCCCAAGAATATTGCTGAACTGAAACAGTTCTGTAAAGAGGAATGGTCAAGAATTACTCCTGACCGTTGTGCACGTCTGATCTGCAACTACAGGAAACGTTTGGTTGAAGTTATTGCTGCCAAAGGAGGTTCAACCAGTTATTAAATCCAAGGGTTCACATACTTTTTCCACCTGCACTGTGAATGTTTACATGGTGTGTTCAATAAAAACATGGCAACATTTCATTCTTTGTGTGTTATTAGTTTAAGCAGACTGTGATTGTCTATTGTTGTGACTTAGATGATGATCAGATCACATTTTATGACCAATTTGTGCAGAAATCCATATCATTCCAAAGGGTTCACATACTTTTTCTTGCAACTGTATATATATATATATATCCAAGATTAATGTTGCTAGGAACAAAATCTTTAGTCCTATTAATACACGATTAGGACAATGAATATTCAAATATGATAGATGCCCTGAATAAAGATAGTTGATATAAGTTGAGTCGAATTTTAATGGTCCTTGAGAGCACAAACAGATTGAAGCTGTCAGAATATTGGTTATGATAAAACCTTTTTTTGTTACTGATTGTAGGCAAAATTGTTAACTATTGGACCTGTATGGTAATAGGGGGTCTTCAAAAGTTATCCTTGTACCGTGTTTGTAGATACAGTACTAATCTATCAAATACAGTATAGCAAACCAGGGCTATATGGGCAATATAACTTTCTATTGGGCCTGTATGATAATAGGAGTTTTCAATAGTTGGCCATAGCCGTGTTTGTAGATTCTGTACTAAACTGTCAGATAGAATGTATCAATCGAGGACTGTATAAAGGAGGACAAATTTTTCCTACAGTCACTCTGATGATAAAGTTTGAAATATTGTGTAAGTGCAGCGCCTAAACTATGTATACACCAGCATTAGTCTGTGTATCTTTATTCCAAGACAAATATCGGTCAGAATAACACACTGTGAGGGTTTAGTTAAATCAGCACTGCAGTGTTGTAATAAGTTTGTCAGCAATGCTGCCTTGCTATTGCCTCTAGGGAGTGCCAGATATAGTATAAGGCCAGATAAATATACCCTAAGGAGACTTCAATTATAGAGAGCAATATGTTGAATACATACAACTTCTGAACGGTGTATCTGTTCGTTGAGTAATGTATCCTTATTACCAAACGGGTATCGGTCAAGATAAACTCACACAGTGAGGGTTGATTGACTAAGCTGTGCGTTTGCTCAAGGCAGTACATAAGGTGATAAAGTAGATGTTGAAGTCAATTCCTAGCTGTGCGCTTGCCTTTGGAATTATAAAGATAGTGGGTAGATAGAGGGGGAGTATAGAGACAGACTTCATAAATAAGTAGGAGTCAAGAAGAGTATATATACTGGAAGTGAATAGGACTATGGATATTCCCATGAACTAAGTGTCAGGATTACAGTATGATCCAGCACGTAGTATTGTGTAACACAGAGGACTAATAGGTAACATATACCGGACCTTAGAATGGCCAGACTAACGTGCCAAAGAATAGTCAGGAAATGTCGAGGTCAAGGGACACAGAAAGAGACACAACGATAAGGAAAAGCCAGGGGTCAGGGATGCCAGAAAACAGGGAAGTCAAAAACAATGCCAAAGTCAAAATACCAGAATAACCAGAATCAATAACGTGCTCTCGGACAACCACAAGGGAAACCACGACAGGGCACTGGGCAGGATGAGAACTGGGCCTAAATACCCCTCCTCTGGATCTGATAGGCTGTAAAAAAGGACTGCTCAGATGAAGATGTAAGCGAGTACTGCTGTTATAAACCTGCTCATGCTACAGAAGTGAATCACTGATGGTACAGTGGCAATGGATAACGCCAAGTCAGTGCCCCTGACACCACTCTGGCTCATCAGAGGGAGCCAAACTTCAGGTAAAGCCCAGTAAAAGAAGGTGTAAGATACATCTGATTGGTTCATTTGAAATGTCATGGACCAATGGGAGTAGTGCAATTTCGTTAGTGGGAAGTGCAGTGAACTTAATCCTTTCAGTACTGGTAAATTTTAGTGAATCCCAGGACAAGAACTTTGTTGGGATAACCCTGTTCTTTGAATCTTAGCCTGATCTCTTTAGCTTTTTTTCTGAAATGTAGTTTCATTAGAACAATTTCCACGTGGTCTAAGGTATTGTCCCAGTTTGACCTGGTGGTGGCTTTGCCAATGTAAAAGGTTATTTGTGGCGTTGGCTTTTCTTTAAAGTTCTGTTTCAACTGTGCCATCCAAGCCAAGTGTAATTCTTAGATCTAGGAATTCCAATACAAGCTGTCCCCATAGCCAGTGGTGTATCCTGGTTTTGTGCTGCCCTAGGCAGGACAAAACTCAGGTGCCCCCCCCCCCTGTGCCAGCCCCACCCAACCCTTCCCCCCACCCCGCCTTCTAAATACACACACACACATTCACTGACAGATATGCATACACACGCTAACAGACACACACACACACACACTAACAGACACACACACACTCACTAACAGACACACACACTCACTCTAACAGACACACACTAACAGACACACACACACACCAGACACACACACACAACAGACACACACACACAACAGACACACACACACAGTCAGACACACACATACACACAGTCAGACACACTAACAGACACAAACTGTCAGACACACACACACTAACAGACACACACTAACAGACACACACAGACACAGACACACACATACACCCAGTCAGACACACACACACACACACACACACACACACACACTGACAGACACACACAGTCAGACACACACACACACACACTAACAGACACACACTCAGACACAAATACACACTAACAGACACACACAGTCAGACACACACAGTCAGACACACACTAACAGACACACACTAGCAGACACACACACACACTAACAAACACACACACACACACTCAATTTTTTTTTTAATTTACCTCCCCTCCCCCCTCCTTACCTTAATTTACCCCCCCTCCCTGGTGGTCCAGTGGCTGCGGGCGGCGCTGGGCTGGGCAGGCGGCCGGCGAGGGAGCTCTTCCCCTGAGCGCTCTGCTCAGCTCCCTCGCGCGTCGCAGAGTGAGGCCGGGAGCCGGAAGATGACGTCATATTCCGGCTCCCAACCTCACTCTGCGGCGCGCTAGGAAGCTGAGCGGACAGCTCAGAGGAAGAGCTCCCTCGCCAGCCGCCCGCCCAGCAGCCAGCACGCCCGGCCGGTCAGTTAGCCGCAAGGCTAACTAGGCATTTGCCCTGGGCATTTGGGGGGCGGCGTTTTTTGCTGCCCCCTGAAAAATGCCGCCCAAGGCAAATGCCTTGTTTGCCTCGCGGCTAAAGCGCCCCTGCCCATAGCTGTGCCTTTCAATTGAAGATAGTATGTGCCGTTAAACACAAAGTAGTTGTGTGTCAAGATGAAAGTTAGCAACTCCAGTAGAAATTGTTTATGTAACATGGAATTTTTTTTTTTTACTTTTCCAGAAAGTAAGATGTCGCTGTAATCCCTATGGTATGTGGAATATTGTTGTATAATGACACCACATCTTGACATATGTAGTCATTTAGTGCCGTTTTTAACCGCACCTTACATGGGTGTTAGGTATTTTCCACCCCCCTGTTTTTAGTTAAACTATTAAAAGTTAAGTTTTAACATCGAAGTGACATATTTGTCATTCGGCATTCACACATTTCCCCTTATGTTTCCCTTGAATAAGAGGGAAACCCACGCTTAAGGATATTTCACCCTATTCCTTTCTTTCTCCTGTTTTTTTCTTTATTTCTAGTACATGAACTGTACTAACTCAATTATCTCCAGGCAGAAAAACATATTTCAGCAGTACCCCTGAAAGTACCCCTAAAACCTATGGAAACCCCACAAGAGTTATATCCCCTGATAACCCCTATTTGGGTGACCAACATATCCAAAAATCACCCAGATCGGTTTTGGGGTTCGGGATTTCCATGGAAGTCACATTTTGACCAACCGCACACGAGGCTCCTGCCCAAAAGAGTTCCATGAATTCAGGCTGTGCGGTCAGTCTCTTTCTGGAACACCCAATATAGTCCAAAATACAGAACATAACATTTTGTGGGTACATTCAGTCTATGCCTCTCGTTTGGGAGCTTGCTCCCACCGAACACCATTCAATTCCCATCGGTTTAGCCGAACGTTGATGGAAGGAATGTTCTAGTGGTGTTCGCGCCGTCGAGTGTCCGATTTGGGTTCCAGGCACTCGATGACCAAACACTGCTCTTTGTGTTCGCGGCTAAAGAAGGCCGCCGCCACGTGTTCGCAAGTCGAACTGCGACCACCCTGCCAACGCTTAGAACGCTTGTGGTTTAGGAATGTTTATGAGGTGACAGAGGTTAATGAGTGGCACACTCCTCATACTGGTGGTCCGGTTATTTGGTAGTTAATTCAGTAGGGGAATGGAATAAAGTACAAAACGAAGGCTAATAAAATTTAGCAGTATCCAATGAACAGCTAAACAACAGCTGTATTTTCTGTCAGTAGCAATAGAAAAAAACCCATAAAGGAGTTATGGAGCATCTGATATCCTTTTTCTTCTATACTAAACTCCATAAAATACAATAATTACATGTTCTGTCTACTAAATGAAAGATCAGAGCAAGAATATTCTATAAATTTAACTATTGCTAAAATCCTTATAGTGTAACAAGTGCTCTGATAAGAATATTCATCCACTTGGGCATAAGGTCATTAATCTATAAATTTATACATACTGTGGCAGTGTAAGGGAACACTGCTATAATAGCCCCAGAATGGCACTTTCAGTGTTCCCTGACTAGAGGGGGTTAAAAAATCAGGCTGGTCTAGTACATCAGTTAGGGAGCTACTTAAACCCCTATGCAGAGGGAAATCAGTCTCTCCTGTGAAGAGCTGGGGCAGAGACAGAGAGACTGTGAGTCAAAGAGACGGCTGAAACTGCATGGAAAGTAAAGGTATTTTGCAAGCCTTTATTTTCATTTGTTAAACTGCTGGGGTCAACTTAGCTGCCCAGTAGCATAGAAAGGGTACTTTATGTTAGTTAGTCTCCAGTGTGGCTAAACATTTTTTATTTTTTTTACACACTACTCTTAGGTTTGCCACCTGACTGGTATTTTACTGGCACAGCCGGTATTTGAATCTGCCTGGCCATGCCAGTATTGCAGAATACCGGCAATACAAATGCAGGTATTTTTCTCAGAATAAATGGAGATTACTCTGCAATACCAGCACCGCCAGTAGGGGTCACTGTGTGTGGAGAGAGGCAGGGATAGGGAGTTACAGCATATCCCTGCCTCTCTCTACTACTCACTGATCTGTTGGGGAGCAGCAACACAGCACAGAGTCCATACAGCAGCTCTACAGCTCAGGTAAGTGAGGGATGGGGGGAAAGGCAGCAAGGACACATGGGGACACTGAGACACTAGGGGACACTAGGGGACACTGAGACACTAGGGGACAGACACTAGGGGACACTGAGACACTAGGACACATGGGGACACAGACACTCGGGGACACTGGAAAACATGGGGATACTTTCACACTAGAACACATGGGGACACAGACACTGGGAGACACTCAGGGACACTGGAAAACATGGGGACACAGACACTAGGACACATGGGGATGCTGAGACACCTATGTCTATGTCCACAACTGTCCCCGTGTCCCCAAGTGTCTGTCTCCCAGCCAGTGTCCTCTAGTCTCCCAGTGTCCCCTAGTCTCCCAGTGTCTGTGTTCCCATGTCTCTGTGTCCCTAGTGTCTTAGTGTCCTCAAATGTTTCAGTGTTCCTAGTGTCTCAGTGTGCCTAATGTCCCCATGTCTCCCAGTGTCCCTATATGTCCCAGTGTCCCCATGTCTATGTCCACAACTGTCCCCGTGTCCCCAAGTGTCTGTCTCCCAGCCAGTGTCCTCTAGTCTCCCAGTGTCCCCTAGTCTCCCAGTGTCTGTGTTCCCATGTCTCTGTGTCCCTAGTGTCTTAGTGTCCTCAAATGTTTCAGTGTTCCTAGTGTCTCAGTGTGCCTAATGTCCCCATGTATCCCAGTGTCCCTATATGTCCCAGTGTCCCCATGTCTATGTCTACAACTGTCCCCATGTCTCCCAGTGTTCCCAAGTGTCTGTCTCCCAGCCAGTGTCCCCTAGTCTCCCAGTGTCTGTGTTCCCATGTCTCTGCTGGTCACCCAATGTGTCTGCTGGTCACCCAGGTATTAATAAATCCACTTCTGCTATCATGTGGTTATTCTGGTGGGATTTCCTCAGGAAGGATGTTAAGGAATATGTGCAGGCTTGTTCTGTTTTGTGCAGTTTCCAAAGTGCCTCATAAACTCCCTTGTGGCTTGTTACAACCTCTTCCTATTCCTGAGGTCCCATGGTGCCACCTGTCCATGGACTTCATTGTTTAACTTCCTAGTTCTAATGGTTATACCACTATTCTCATGGTTGTGGACCGTTTTTTTCTAAAATGGCTCATTTTATTCCTCTCAAGAAATTACCGTCATCTCAAGACCTGGTACTGATCTTTATACGTGAGATTGTCCGTCTGCATGGCATTCCTCATAAAATTGTATCTGATAGAGGTTCTCAGTTTGTATCACGGTTTTGGAGGGCTTTTAATAAGCTACTGGGGATTGAATTGTCTTTTTCATCCTCTTACCACCCCCAGACTAATGGTACAGCTGCGAGGGATAACCAGTCTTTGGAGTTCTACTTGCGTTGTTCTGTTAATAGCACTCAAGACAATTGGTCCGAATTATTACCATGGGCCGAGTTTGCTATGAACAATGCTGACCATGACTCCTCTGGGCATAGTTCATTTTTTTGTTAATAATGGCCGGCATCTTACTGTCCTACCGGCTGTTTTTTCTGATACGGCTATTCCTGCTTTGGATGACCGTCTGGCTTCCATCCGTGATACCTGGGTTAAAGTTCAATCTGCTCTGGGTACTGCTGCTGACCATTTAAAGTATTCTGCTGATACACGTCGAGGTGCCAACCCTGTTTACCAAGTGGGTGAGAGGGTTTGGTTATCTTCTCGTAACATCAGGCTCAAAGTCCCTAGCATGAAATTTGCTCCTAGGCTCCTTGGACCTTTTTGTGTCCTTCGTAGGATCAATCCTGTTGCGTACTCTCTGGCCCTTGCTCCCTCCTTGAAAATTCCTAATACCTTTCATGTGTCCTTGCTCAAACCTCTTGTTTGCAATAAATATACTGTCTCAAGTGTCCCTCCTCCTCCCTTAGTTGTTTCTGGACAGGAAGAGTATGAGGTCTCCTCCATAACTGATTCCAGGTTTTCTCGTGGGCACTTTACAGTACTTGGTGGATTGGAAAGGTTATGGACCAGCCGATCGTTCTTGGGTTCCGGCATCTGATATACATGCTGGCCGCAAGATTAGCTATTTTCATGCCAAATTTCCTCTCAAGCCTGGTCTTGCCTGCCCAGTGGGCATTCTTCAGGTGGGGGGTAATGTCACGTATTCATCCGCTTATAAAAAATGTGGTTAATGGCATTTACTGTCCACACATGAAAAGTTGTGCCGAGCAGCAACCAAATCCACAGAAGGGTTAATGCTGAGCAGCAATTATGCAAATGGAAACCTGGTAACTGCCTTTGGGTCCAGAGGAGGGGTATTTAGGCCCAGTTCTCATCTTGCGCTTGATTGATTATGGTTATTTGACTTTGGCATTGTTTTTGACTTCCCTGTTTTCTGGCATCCCTGACTCCTGTCTTTTCCTTATCGTTGTGTCTCTTTCTGTTTCCCTTGACCTTGGCTATTCTTGACTATTCTTTAGTACGTTCGTCCGGCCATTCTAAGGTCCGGTATACGTTACCTATCAGTCCTCTGTGTTACACATTTCTACATGCTGTAATCCTGACAGAGAGGCCCTGGTGCTGCACGATCCACAGCAACCACCCCAGTGCCCCCTGGGTGCCCCACACTGAGGACCCGACCGCCACAATGTCTTTTGTCTTGCAGGTGCTGCTGGTTGAAGAATGGAGGCTTGGCTGGCTGGTGTTCGTACTACTGTGCAGCAGTTTCCTGGCTCCAGGAGTGTCTGAGACAGGCCCTGGTCCCGGCTGGGCCTAGTGCTGCACGATCCACAGCAACCACCCCAGTGCCCTCCGCGTGCCCCACACTGAGGACCCGACTGCCGCGATGTCTGACACCCAGCGCGGACTCCAGCAGGAGCAGGGTGCGAGGCCAGAGACTGCCGTGGGAGTTCTGGAGGTCATGGCCAGCCTCGCCATGAGGCCACATGGTCTGCCTGTTCGCCTGGGAATGAGGCTGAGGCTGCACGTTCGGGCCACGAAGGTGGGCGAACTGTCGGGCCATGAACTGGAGGTTGTGAATATGCGGCCCGCGAACAGGCGAACGTGGAGATGGGCATACGTTTGGGCCACGAACAGGGACATCAGAAACCTGCCGCACTTTTGAGCCGGGAACAGTTCGCAGTTGGGGCCACATTCATGGGAATGAGCACAAATTTCGGCGAACGGCTGATGGGTCGCAAGTCACAGGGCAGCGAGCGGGTGGTGGAAAGGTGGGCACTAGGCATCCAGGCAATGGAAGGGCCCCCAGTGGACATAGACATGCTTCTCCTGCCTCCCCCCATCACGGGTGGGCATGAAGCACTGCACTCAGGACTTTCATGTCAGGCCCCCCGGGGGTGCTGGACGACAGGGGTCACACTATAGATCCCATAGTGGCCATAGCGATCATGAGCCCCACCACGGCGGGGTTCTCCCAGGCTGGCTACCCGGGAGCGTAACTTGGGATCCACCATTAGGACTACTGGACACATCTAGTGGTAGTTCTCGGGGTGTCTACGAGGAACAGATGGTGGGCAGTGGTCATGGCCATGGGGGTCAAGCGGCCAGGCACAGTGGGGATCAGTCTCTTCCCAGGTACCAGCAAGAGAGTAGGGTAGCCAGGACTCAGTCAGACGTTCTACGCAGAGTCTTTTCTCATTCCATGTCACCAAGACCCACGGTCCGGGTGAGACCTCGTGATGTGGATCTACGGCTGGAGGCGCCGTCACGCCTGGGCTTGGACAACGTCAGGCAGGATACGGCCTCATGACCTTCAGTGGCAAGAGGTTCTGACTGTGAGTTGTCTTCTGAGGACCTTTTAGAGTTTTTCAAGTCGTTTCTGGACTCATGGAGCGGGGGTTCGGGTGAAAGCGTTCGCTTTGGGTACCTAGGCAGGAAGTAAGGGGTCTGTGGCGGTTCCGGTGGCTGGTACCCATTCTGCTGGGGATACGGTGGTTCTGGCGACTGCCACAGGTGATTTAGGGACCAAAAAGGCGGAGCTAGTTGGGGCATCCAGACGCGGCTAGGCAGAATGTTCATGTCTCCTTCACGGGGCCGTTGGGGTGTCACCTTAAACAGGAGGTGAAGGAACGGATATGGAAGGGGAAATTTCTGGAGCTCTTTTCTCTTATTCCTCTGGAAGAATACTTGGACATGAAGGAAGAGGAGAAAAGGCGCTGCTATCAGAAGATATCCAAAACGTTTGGACATTGGTTGAGGGCTTTTTGCATTCTGGCAAGTGTTATGGGGAGAAATCCCCCGAGCGATGCTCGCAGTTGTACTGTTACTTGGATGGGATTTGGAAGGTGTACCACACGTACGGAAGCCCAGGTGGGTGGTGGTACGATGAACAATTTCGGCAGAGGCTTTCAGTCAATTAGATGGGATCAGATGGACCTGCCGCTGTGGATAAAGCTCATGAAGGCATCATCCTTTTAGCCCAGGGCCAGCGCAGAATCTTCCTCTACTTCGCCGGCCACCCACAAAAAAAGTTCTGCTGGACGTATAACGAGGGGCAGTGTATGTGGGGTGCGGCATGCCATTTCAAACACTAGAGTTCCAGGTGTTGAGGTGCGCGTGGTTACAACCGCTGCTATAAGAAGGGTAAGTCCTTCTCCATGGGAGTAATGCCGGGTGCATCAGGGAACCGCTGCCGCTGGGGCGACCGTC